ACCAAGGAGATAAAGAGACAAGAGTTTATGATTCAGGCAGACACAGAAGAATCAGGAAAGAACCATGAAGTGCAACAAATACTGGGAACTGTCACATCATTGCAGGTGGAGGATCAGGAAAGGTTTGCTGGCCTGGGACGGACACAAGTTCTCCTTCCTCCTATGTGGTGAGGCAGGGGCAAGGACTGCCCTGGGGCAACAGGCAGGAGGAGCAGGGTTGTGGTGTAGGGTGGGACTGGGCATGGACACAGGTGACAGTGGGGGGCAGGGGTGAGAAAACCTGATGAGATCCACAGAAAGAGCAGATCCGCTCTCAGATCAGGAAGGAGCATAGGTGCTCTTCCGAGCACTGGCCTCTTCACCAACCCCTTTTCCAGGAAAAGCAGGCAACCATTTCCTGTTCCCATCAATAATTCCTGTCACAGTTCATGACCATAGATAGCATGGGGCAGGGACAGATGATTAATTATGGATGACTCAGAGTCAGCGTCCACCACATTCCAAGAGGGGTGGCCACTACCCGAGACCCCTTAGTGTGAGACAGTTGGGTAAGGACAGCCCAGCCTGAAACCTCCGTGGCTTTTCATGGACAGAACCAGAGAGCAAGGATCAAAGAGAAATGAAGGGCAACTGTGCAGGCACTCACAGAAGGGACAGGGAAGGACAGGGTGTTCTGTTAAAGGACCGACCTTGGGGCCAATCTAAAACAGGCCGGAGCATTCATTCCTCAAGGCAATGCATTTTGATCCTATCTGGACTTGTGGGCCCTGGTCTTTATCCTTTCATCTCTAACCATGTACTCCAGGAGGTTTGGAGCACCTGGCTCCAAAAGTTCCTTACCCCTGCATACCTGCCTTGTGCAACCCTCTGGCCAATACCCCTACAATTTTGCTGCCCAATCACAATTTACTTCTGCCTGATGCATATGATCCCTTTCCCACCTGAATGAGTCATTAGCCTCTGAAACAGTGTCCTTGAGTATTAAATGGAGGTAACAATACCAGGCTCTTAAGGTTGTACATCTGTGACCACAGATGTACAAGTATCTCTCTAGGAGAGAAGGATCTTTCCATCTGTGTCCAGCAGGAGCATTCTGTAGACCCCACCTGGGATGAGGAAACACATCCTGGAGTGAGCGGGCTGAAGAGGCCTCCATGTGTCTGTAGGAGCAGGCAGCCGTGGTTCTCCAGGCCCTCAAGGCCAAAGCTGAGCCCCAAGTCTGGACCTCCTCTCTCCTGCCACTCTGAAACCAAACCTGGGAAGCTGTCTGCAGGTGACCTGGGTGTTTCTCCACAGCAGAAGATGCCAGTCCCTCTGCAGAATCCAAACTCCCTTAATGTTCTGAGAGCAGATGGTGACAGTAACATTGCCCAACTCCCCAGGGTGCCTCTGTTGTGGCTTGCTACAGAACAGGGAGAGCAGGAAGCACCCACAGGGTCAGGAAAGTCACTCCGAACCGACAGGACCTTGGCCTCAACTCTGGCAACCTCCTCCCTTCTCTGTCTCCTCCCAAGGGCAGAGCTGGTGGGTGGTGTTGGGTGTCAGCGGCCACAATGTGTCACTTTGGAAACAGGGAAGAAAAGGCTCAGAGATGGAGCAACTAGGCCAGGAACACAAAGGTGACCCCTTTGTGGGCAGTCTCTGTTTCCACAGCCACACAGCCTGCCCCCGAGTACACCCACGCCCCCATCCCTGCCCTGCCCCATGTGAGATCCATGCTGTTAAAACCAGCAAGCCCTCTTCCAGCTCTCATGTCACCATTGTTTCCCACAAGTGCTTCTCTGCCCATAGCTGTCACAACACCGTGATGCTCTGCCTGGGTCCCCCTTAAGCTCTGTTTGTCATGGAGGTTTGTGTGTCTGTGGGCGACTCACAGATGCCAGGGAGCCTCAGTCCCCCTGGTGGGGCAGATGCATCATGGGGATTTGTTGTCGCAGTCACTTTGGGGGAGTTCTGGCCCCTGTCATAAAGACACCAATCAATCAGATCCGATTCTAGAATCCAAGATGACAGCAAAACAATGACTCCAAAGAAAGCACAGTAAAGAGGTAAAAAGAGTCACTGAGGGAGAAAGCACCGGGGACCGGGTCCACTAGGTACTCGCTGTTGCTGGTGACTGAGGTAGCTCCCCTGGACCAGGGACACCACAGCCACTCAGAATCTCATCAATGCTCTCGCCTTTCACTGGGCACCTGGCTCTGGGGAACCATGCACATCCCGTGGGTTTTGATGGTCACCCTCGGCTGGTGAATTTCTCATCTGAGCGCCCAGCTTAGACCTGAACTGCAGCTGTGTACCCTGTCCATATGGATGTGTCCTTCTCAAACTCCACGCAAATGGGCACTTCAGGGGTCCTGATAAGGGCAGGCTCACCCACCCAGCTGCTCCTTGCTGCACTCCGCTCCCTCCCTCAGGGCCCACATCCAAGTACAGCCTCTTGGGCCTCTTCCTGAGGGGCTCTGCATGCTCCTGTTCCTCACCATCCTCACTGCCCTGCCTGTACGGGGTCTAACTGGATACACAGGGGTAGTATGCACAGCTAGGGAACTATGATTCAAGACCACAGATGCACCCAAAGCCACACAAGGATGAATGTTCCTGATGTAGTGCTGAGTGAAAAGCCAGGCATAAAAGGCAAATACTGTATGATCTCATTTATCTGAGGGCCCTAGCATGGCCAAATCCACAAAAAACAGAAACCAGAATAGAAATGGTCAGGGGGCAGGGAAGGAGAAGTGGGAAGCTAGTGTCTAACAGGCAGAGTGTCAGTCTAGAAAGTTGAAAATGTTCTGAGATGGTTGACACTCTTACATAATAATGTGCATGTGCTGAATGCCACTGAAGTGTATAGTTAAAACAGTCAGAATGGCAAATATTAGGTTATAGGTAATCCACCACAGTGTCAGAAAACAACAGTGTCATGAACTGGTAATGATTTCCCCTGGTCCCTGGAGGAAAGCCTCAGCTCTCTGGGGGACCTTCCCAGCTACTATCATCACTCTCCAGCTACCCTGCTGTCTTGCAGTTCTGGCTGTGATGCACCTCCGTCTGTTCCTGGCATGGAATGTGCTAGGGCTTCAGCTCCCTTGGCTTAGGACAGTCATAATCTCTCCTCTGCCTCCCTTTCCCCCCATTTTCCACCTTTCTCTCTATACTTCCTGTACCCCTCCTTTGCCTATCAATCTTCTAATCATCTTTTAAATATCAGCTTCAAAACTCCACTTCTGAAGAGACCTCACTCCAACCCAAGTGAAGCTGGTGTCTCTGGTGTTACACAAATACTGTATGTGCTCCTCCTCCTCCATGGAGAATTTTAACACTTGAAGTTGTCCAGCGTGCACACTCCATGCTAAGAATGAGGGTTGTGCTGTCCTGCCTGTGACAGCGCACAGCAGAACATGACAAATGTCACCCAGCTCATCCTCTAGATAAATAAACACATGGATGACATGGTCTTCCCTTGGCAAGCCTTTGACCCTGGGATGCCTCTGTAGGCTTGGGACACAAAGCAAAAGCAGAGTAAGGGAAAGAGAACAGGGTGGGTCCTTTCTGCTCATCCCAAAGGACCTACAGTGTGTTGCAACCCAAGGAGTGACCATAGGGCAGCTCCCCTCCAGCCACTCCTCCACCTCCACTTCCACCTCTGCCTTCACCAAGCAGGGCCAGACCACATCATCTCTTTCCTCCAAGATAACACCCAGACTTCTACCCCGCTTCCAAAGAGGCAAAGACAGTCAGCCCGTGTAGCTCTTGGATGATACTAACTTCTTCATTCCAGCAGCAGCCTGGCACCAGCAGCAAGACACCAAGAGGGTTGACAAGTTTTCCCAGGGTGCATTGGGAACCCAGGACATCAAGCATATTTTCTGCCACCAAAATCCATGACCCATCCCTGCAATACACTCCCTTGGCTTTGCAAGATGCCAGTGCTCAGCATCCTGTTTGGATGTCCTGCTTGGCGTTCAGGGCTCTTCCTCTGCAGAGCCTGTGACAGTCCCACAGGACCTGATCCCTCCTCTCCCACAACTCCTAGAGACTAGCATTGGGTCTAGCCATGGATAAAACTGACACTCAGCTTCCTGAGGCCCTAGACTCCTGAGGATGTGGACCAGGTCTTTATTTTCCTTTCCTTCACTGGAAATCAAGCCCAGCCCTTTCCACAACAGAGGATGGTTCCCCCTAACTTAGCTGTGCAAATTAACTGAAGAATGAGGTGCCTCACCTACTAGAAACTGCTTCTGTAAAGAGGGGATCATTCATATGCATGAGGCCACCGCAAAGCTGGAAATGAAATACAAATTTTCCTTCATTCAAAATACCTGTGGATGTTGGTTTCACGATGTGTTACACAATGGTGGGGAGGGGAAATAATCATTTCAATTATTTATATCATTATTAGATTCATCTTAACCTCAAAATGTTAAAACTAAGACAGTGTGTGTTTTCAGATTAGAGCGTGTAATTCGGCGTGTGAAAGTGCAAAGCAGTGGCCTCACCCCAGCTGCTCACCCAGGGAAGGTGGTGACAGGACCTGTGCTTTGGGTCACTGTCGGCAGCCCTACTGCAGGGGCCATTTCAGGAGGGCCCATTGAAGGCCTGGGGGATGCTAGACACTAACATAATAAGAAAGAAAACTTCTCCTCTTCTTCTAAAGGAAGGAGCCCGAGGGTGGCAGATGGTCCAGAATTTTCCAAGGACCCTGTCCAGCCATCTTCCCAAGCCCTGGCTCGGGCAGGTTCCACACCCCTTGTCCCCGGGCTTCCCACTGACTTCCCAGGTCCCAGGTTCCACCCAGGCTTCCAGGTCCTGGTGACTACAGCAGCCCCAGACTCCTCACCTGGTGGCTGTTCTCACGTCTGGAAAATCAGTGGAGAAATGAGTGTTACAGCCTGAAGTGACTGGGGAGGATTTCCGATGGAACTGAGCTGCATGGGCTGTGGGTTTTACTTCCTCGGAGGCTAGCAAAGCATATTACCTGGATCAACAAATCGTCCCATCCCTTGTCCTTCCGGTTGCCTTTATTTCCAGTAAGAAACACCCTCGGGGCTGAGGTGTAGTCAGTGGTAGAGTGCATGATGGGCACGTACACGGCATGTGCCCAGCTGTGTACAATCCACAGCATTAAATACACACGTGTATGTCACAGATCATCTAACACAGGTATACCAACAGACAGACAGACAGATACCTTCAAAGAAACACTCCAGTGGGTGTTCAACAAAAGGAGAGTCACGATCTTACTTGACATGAAACACATGCAGATCCCTTTAGAGCAAAGGTCTTGGGGAGCCCTGAGTATGCTCAGGCTTCCGAGATTCCCAGAAACCAGGGCAGGGCTCAAGAGGGGAAAAGTGACCTCAGGGCTCCCCGTCGGCACTGTCCCACCTCTCCCAGGGGAGTGACTCTGCTCGGTAGGTGCACACAGGCAGGTTACAGCCTGTTTACCGCAAAGCTCACAGAATCCTCCGTGTTCCCACTAGAGCTGAGGTTCCTGCTGTTGTCTGGAAGGCCTCCACCCCAGGGAATCACCTCCTGTGTGTGTAAAATGTCTGATTGTGGGGAACCTCGTTCACCTTCTCCTCACTTTTTAAAACTCCAAAAACACTTTGTTACTCAACAGCTCACTCAGGAACCTGATGCATGGGGTGGTTGTGTGTGTCCGTGGCTGTTCAAGTTGAGGGCAGTAAGGTCACAGCCCTGGCTGGTGCCTGGCAGGGCGCCTGTGCCCTGCACAGGGCAGAGACTCAGCTCGAATACTCCGATTCAAATTGGCAGAAAGCAGCAGCCCTGGGCACAGGCCTGTAGGTCGGTGTCTATGATGGCCGCAGCTTCCTTGGCAAAGTCTGTCCTCAGTCCCATGGGTCAGCACACAGCCTGCAGCCACCTCAGGAAACCAGTCCTTCATGACTATAAATCCTGTCCCACTCCAAGCATGGCTTTAGGCTGCGAGGGACACGTTCCAGCACTCAGTCCTGATAGAGATATTACTGTAACACACACTCGGAGGGCGAGTGGGAGGTAAGCTGGAAGGAAAGAGACCATCCCCCTCCTGGCCACCTCTGAGACTTGCCCATGAGGTACAGGAAGTGGTACGGGTGCGCAACAGAGGGCATCTGCTGGGTAGAGTTTCTACGGACTACATGCAGCATAACACCCTTGTGTTCCTTCAAAGAAAACGTGGTGCCTCCAAGAGGACCAATTAAAAAAATACGCCCATATAACTATTTTAACGAATCAATCAGAATTGATTAAAACACCAAGATTGTATTTCACAAAGGATTTTAAATAGGATTTTCAGTATCTCCAAATAGTATTTACTTCTCAAGAAAACCTTGATTGGTGTCTGAAAGCACCAGGAAATGGACGAGCCACCACCGTGCGGACCTGGGCGCCAGCATCCCAGCTGTGAGACACACTCACATCACACACGTGTGTGCCCCACACACGGCACAGAAGCAGCTGGCTGCAGCCCCGGTGCCCACAGCCCATCCATCACACCTCACCCTTGAGAGGACTGAAACTCTACGCCTGCCTGGGACACTGTCGGTCTTCTGCCCTCCACGGGGCCCGCAGATTATGGACAATCCTAAAACACTAAAGAAGAAATTTAAGGACAAGCTCGAGGGGAAACGATGGCTCTCATGGCACTAGGTACTAGGCAGCGAAATGGTGCTGTCCTGGATGGGTAGGAGTCCAGGGAGCAGAGTCCGGCTGTGCCAGCTCCCTGCCTGGAGGGCCTCGGCCCAGTGGAGCCGCAGGTTCCCTGTGCCGAGGAGACACAACTAGGAATCGAGGTGGACAAGGGGTGCATGGTTCTGGGGAAACAAGCAGCACAGGGAGCCCAGAGAGGGCAGAGACTCTCACTGTACGAGTGCACAGGGACAATCCAAAACCGAGGGAGAGATGGGGAGGACTTACCATGGGTAACACCCGGCATCAAATGAGGTGAACTCACAGCAGTTGCCTTCTAAATCTAAACTCTGCATACAAAGAAGAAAAAATGAGGCAAAAAAACATTTATGAATTTACACTGACCCAGAAAAACACTGACTTTAACAAAAACATTAAAGTATAAATGGTAGTTTTCGCTTTGCAAGGTGAACATTACACGGGGGAGAGGAAATTGGTGGAGATTATATAGCAGTGTGAAGACGGTTAAAGCCACAATGCTGCATGACTTAGGATCATTACGGTGACTGAACATTATGTACCACCTTTCACAGTTTCAGAGTTTATTTTTAGCTGACACAAGGTAATTGTACATATTTATGGGGCACTGTGATTTTCCATACAAGCATACATGTAAAGAAGAGATCAGGATGACTGGCATACCTGTCACCCCAATCTTTTATATTCCCTTTTGTTGAGAATGTTAAAATTGTTGTTGGGCCATGTTCATTGGCTCCTGGGCTTCCCGCCTGTGAAAGTGCAGGGCTCCCCAAGCCTTCTGCAGGTTGGGTTTTGGACCCACTGCTGCTTCCTGTCTTTGGGGAGCAGGAGCCAGTGATGCCATGCTGAGCGAGTAGAAGTAAGCAGTGTTAACACCTTGCATTTGTTAATTACTCCTCCTCTCTCATTTGAATGTGAGGTGTCCACACAACCCCCCAGTGTGACTGATGGAAGCTGTCAGGTTCCCTGTGGCTCTGGCTCCAGCAGAAGGACAGAGCTGAGTCCAGTCTAGGGGCACAGGGACAGGCCTCACTCCCTTCAGTCAAGGCCTCTTCTGGCACTAAGGAACAGATGTGTTTACAGTGGCTTGGAGCCTGGCCTAAGCCCGCCCTCTCACTAAGGAGCCAATTCCAGCCCCAGCCAAGATTGACTCTCTAAGGGCCCCCTAGCTGGGCTGAACTGCCTCAAACTGGGTCTGTTTGATATTTAACAGGAGCAGCCTCAGGCAGGGGCCACCTGGCTTGATCCCTGCCACACCCCAGAGTTCCCCTCCCTCTGCATGCCCAGGTCACTTATTCTGTGGTGTGACAAACTCCTGAGGGGAACAGCACCTGCTAGACGCACAGCCTGTTGGGCCCGTCCTAGAAAGCAACAACCAAGGACACAACTCTGCAGACCACACTCAAGGTCACCAGAAGAGGAAGGGGCCAAGGAGAGTTTTGGGCGTTGTGCAGCCTACCACTCCTGGGTTGTGTACAGTTCAAAACAAAATGAAACAAGCATAACCGAAAACCCCTCCCTGGGAAGAGGCAAACTATAAAATATTACAGTTCTCCCAAAAGCAATAAAAGTGCCCAGGTTTCAAATAAGACATGTAAATACACAGCTGTTAGTTTGTTTCTGGAGTGGCAGAATGAGTGCTGCTATCATAAAATTCAAAGTTTGGATGACAAGACAGGTGCAGGAAAGAGCAGGCCAGGAAACAAGAGTGGGGTGCAAATTCATGCACTCGTTTCGCCATCGCAAGCACCCCAGGCTGGCAGCTTGAAGGACAGAAATTCATTCTCTGTGACCTGAAGGGTGGAAGTCCCAGATGAAGGCATGGGCTGACCTGGCTCTGCTGTGTTTTGCTCAACAATCACACTGAGGTGAGAGAGTCTACGTGAGGATCTGCAGTGGGCAGGCTCAGCCCCCAGCAACATTTTCATTCATTCATCTCTCTCAAAACTAGTTATTCATGCCCAGCTCTGTTTCCCCTATGGGAGGAGAAAATGGGGTTCCCCTCAGTTCTCACCAAGCCCGAGAACATGGCAGCCACCATGGGGGGCAAAGCAGAAGCCAGTGGTACTGGGGAAGCATCAGCCAGTGTTAGGGCAAGGGTGGAAAGTAGGGAGGGCTTCGTGGAAAAGGGCTGGGGCAAGACAGTGACTCAGAGACAGGAGCTGGAGCACCCAGAGAGCAACACATGTACCCCGCTTCCCTGCGGCTAGAGCACCCCTACCAGCTGTAAAGGTGCTGAGACGGCCCAGCCCCCAGCCCCTTCATCAACACAGCGAAGGACTGGGAAGAAGGACCTGAAGCAGAAGCTGACACAGGGCCAATGAGGAATAAGTGGGCACAGAACCCCCAGGGGCTGGAACAAAGGAAACACCCAGAGCCCCAGTGGGGAGCATCATGGACTGTGGGGAGCAGGTGGCGTCTTAGGCACTTTCCCACGGCAGACACTGACACCCACAACTCAAGGAGGAAGAGCGTATTTAGCTTGAAGTTTTAGGGGCCCCAGTGCTGGCAAGGGAGAAGCAGCAGGAGGAGAGATGCTCACATCATCGTCTCAGAGGCCAGGAAGCAGAGAGAAGGGCAGAGCTGGGGATGGCGCTGCACCTTCCAGGCTCACAGCCCAGTGCCGGGACTGCCCCCCGCCCAGTGCAGGCTCTGACTTCTGCACAGCACATCTAGCCATGCATGCACCAGCAGATGAGTCCCCAGCGAGAGTAGCACCCTCATGATGTAGTCACCTTCCAGAATCCTGGCGTCTACACACAGGAGGCATTGAGGTCCCAAAGGCACCAAGGCTGGACATTTGGTTACTCAGGCAGCCCTGTTCACTTGGAACCCGGTGTGTATGTAAACCAGTTCTGTGCTGCCAGCAAGCCAGGCTTGGATGCAGCAAACGCTGGGCATGCCCCCAGGGCTCTCTCCTCCACCTCCCCAGGACAGCGGGTACCCTCCTCTGACCCACCTATGACCCAGGCTCTCCTCACAAGAGGAGGACAATGGGACAAGGAAGGAAGAGCAGTCCAGAGGGGACCGTTCAGCTTCTGCCGTGCAACCCCATTTCCCCAGCCCAACCCCAGGCCAGCACTGGTGACAGCTCCACCTCCCAAGCCTGCTGGCCCTGGCTCTCAAGCTTCACAGACCTTGGTTGGAGGTCTCCAATGTATCCCATAACTGGCTCCTTTCCTTAACCACACGCAGCCCCGACTGGAACACAGAACACAGAGCCCAGAGCCCTCTCCTTCTCCTCCGTGAATTGTGGTTCTTATTCCATCTCCGGCCTCATCACCCATGCCAGGGACAAGAACGCATCACCCTCTCCAGAGTCCCATACTACGCCCTGTGTCATGGGCCGTGGAGCCCTGATCCCAGGGTAGTTCTTAAGTGCTAACTGGTGCAGTGATGTTCACAGACTCTTCCAAAGCCTCCTAAGAAGGCTTTTCTTGCCTAAGAAGAAAATCACAGCTCTACATTAAGGCACACAAGTGCCTGAGCGCATGCACATGTGCACACACGCTGCCTTCTGTGGTCCTGAACAGTCCTCCCAATACGTCTCTGTCTGCTCACCTCTTTTCTGCTCTCAGAGCTCATCTCAGCCTCACCACCCCCAGTAGACCATGTCTCCTACCTTGTGTAGCCTCAATGTCCCCCCCACCTCCAGAGCTGTCAAGGCCCTGAATACATTCCAATGCCCAGGCACACGTGGAGCACTTTGTCAGTCTCCCCACTTAGGAAGCTGCGATGGCAGAGGCCAGCCACTGGGATTTGGGAGGGACAAACACCCCCACCCTGTGTCACCCGCACACACATGGATGCCATGTCTGGTCACACGTGAGTGCTCCTGGTCACCTGTTACTGTGGTGACCTCCACCCTGTCAGCACGCGCTGGGTTCCTCAGCCTTCGGGGAAGGTGACAGCGCCTCAGTGTTTTTCCGGGAAGGGTCCAGGGAAGGAGCTCTGCTGTCCCTTGGGTCTACTTTCGGGGGTCATGGGGCAAAACTGTGATGCTCCTGCACTGATATGCAGGCTGCCTTCTGAGAAACAGAACAGCAAGTTAGTAGCAGGGTGGTGAGATGCTCTAGAAAAATCCCTGAAAACACTCGTCCAGGGTCAAAGCAGAGTTAGTCCTACAACTTAGATCTTTCTTATAGGTACTGAGCCCTCTCAGGCCCTGCATCCATGGACATAAAAAGCTTTCATGCTGGGTGCAGCAGGAGAATCCAGAGATTTTGTGTTTCTCCATCTTCTTCATTCCTCACTTTGATAGCCTGACTAGGTCACCATGTCCCACTTACACCAGGATAAAACCACTGCACGACAGGGAACAGAAATGAATTACCCAAACTCACACAGCAAGCTAATGGGAAACCAGGAACAGTCACTGAGGAGCCTGTTTATCTGCCTTCTGCCCTAACTTCCTCCCCGAGGGCTTACAATAGGTACAGGAGCAGAGAGAATCCAAGAAAGTAAAAGCCAAGCCGATCTCCTTTGCACACCTCCTTCAAGTTTTCCTTAGGGGAAGTTTGCATTTCTCCAGAGGTCTCCATAACCAGCTCCCAGCAGGTCCAAGGACTTCCCTAGAACTGGCTCACAGGACCTGGCATGCAGCTGCAGGCACTCCACTCCTGGGGTGTCACCTGCCAGCGGCTCCCAGCATGGTCCCTGCGATGCCCCATTAGAGCCCCAGGCAGCTCAGGGCAACTCCCTGTCTGCTGTCCCCTGCCCAGAGGACTTTGTGGGGAGGCCATCACCACAAGGCTGGTTTCTCACTGGACTTCAAGGCACTGCAACATTTCTCATCACATAAAAGGAACCAAGCAAATGTGCTCAAATCAGAAAAATAAAAGAATGCATAAGAATATGTTCTAGGGTTTTCTTTCTTTCCTTTCTTCCTCCTGGTTGTTTTTGCCCACAGGATAGCTCACATGATTTGATTTGACTGTTTGGGGAATTCTCACTTTCAGAGCTGAGTGAGAAAGAAAAACAACTCAAATAAATTCCCCACATTCTTCCTTCCCATCACCACTTTGCCGCTGGTCATGTGACAAAGACCTCAATTTAGTCATAAAATCCAGACACCAAACACCAACCAGGAATACAAGGGGGATGGGCCAAAGGTCATGGTAGCTGGAAAAGGGATTCTCTCTTCTCCCTCCCTTTTATCTCCCCCTCCCTTCTCTTTCTCTCTCTCTCTCTCTCTCTCTCTCTCTCTCTCTCTCTCTCTCTCTCTCACACACACACACACACACACACACAAGCACACAGGGGAGCTTGGTGCAGAAGGGCAGTCTGCTGGTGGGGTAGTGGCTGCTGTTAAATCCAGGTCAGTGTTGAGTCCACTGTGGGTGAAGCCCAGGGTCCTCACCAGGCCAATTCTGTGGCCTGGGTGGAAAACTGGTCCTGCAAGCTGAACCTCAAACCCAGCTTTCAGCCCCTCTGTGATTTGGTGACCAACTTCATAAACATCTTTCTGGCTAGATCAACCACAGCCTGCTTCTGATGCTTCCAGTTAGGCCCCTGATTAGATAGTAGGACATGGTTCAAAAATTGCAGTGGTCAACAAAAAGTAGAATATTTTAAAAACATTTAAAATTTGTGGACCCTCAGAGACGGGCTCCTGAGAGACTGGCTGACACCAAACTCCAGCTGGACAGGGCAGCTCCCACCAAGCCCTCTGTGGTGGACTGGGGGCTCACCCCCTGGGGGCCAAGGATGAAAATCCCTAGGACCTCATGTCCAGCTGGATAAACAAACCTGCTGTTGGCTCCTCAAGGTGAAAGTATTACAGAGCAGAGAGATGGAAAGCAGCCTCAGCCTAAGGAAGAACTTCCATCCTGGGTAAAGGGCGAGCTGAGGCCACCCTCAGGGACACGGGGAACTGACCCAGCCTGGACCCAGCCAGCCACCTGCCAAGGCTTCTTTTCTCCTCATTTCAGTCCCTGAGCCACAGCCACAGGTGGGCCTGGCTCCACAGAAGCTGGAAAACAAACAGGCCTGGCTGAGGGACCGACTTTGGGTTCCCAGGCTGAGAGTCAAGTCAAGGCAGAGCCAGACAGAGACCACGTGTCCACCTGACTTGGAGTCTATTCAGATCAAATGACAGAAGAGTTAGCGATTACAGCTCCACTCTAGATTGCCCCACCTCCCTTTAGGGGTTGTGCAATCCTGCATCTCATAAATAGAGCCTCACCCCAGCCTCCGGAAGCCTCTGCCAGCCCAGGTCCCAAGGGAACCTCTGGTCCTCTCCAGCCTTAGGTCCCAGCCTGCAGACCGCCATGAGGACCCACTGCCTGCTGCTGCTCGCCTTCTGCTTCCTCTTCTGCCAGATGGCCCCAGGTAACCCTAAGGACACAGCAGGCACTGGCAGGGGGCGGGGTCACTGAGGGCAAGGAGAGCGGAGGACCTGAGGCTCAGGGTGTATAGGGGCCAGCAGCAGCAGAGTGTCCTCTGGTCCAGTGGCCTGCAGCGCCAGCCTGCAGGGGTTGCAAGCAGTCCTCCGGGCAGCAGAAAAGCAAGCCAGATGAGGACACAGGACTGGGCTGCTGCTTCAGTCTCCTAACCCCTGCATTGGCCTAGGACACCTAGGGCACTAACCCTATGTGGAGGTACTTCAGGAAGTCTCCTCACACCTGGAGAGGCCCCCTGGAGAGGTGCATCGCCCCCCTCCCCAGGTCACTGGCTGGTCCTTTCTTGTGGTCTGCTGCAGGCAGTGAGATACCAGCCCTCCCACCAGACCAGCTCAGCCTCTGTCTGGGACTCAGCCCTCTGCAGGCCTCAGGGGACCACAGGCACCCTCCCCTTCCTGAGGAACCCAGGTCACTTCTCCAGGCCGGGTCTCCCCAGTTCAAGGGAAGGTAATTCAGGCCCCAAGATGCCAGCTTCTCTGGGACAGAACAGAAGTGTCTGGATGTGACAGAAGGTGGGCGCTGCAGAGGGGATGTAGGACACATTTCCATCCCTATTCTGTCACAGTGTCTGTAAGCCTCAGTTTCTAGAGCCAGGAAACTCTTTGAAGACCCCCTGTGCTCTCTTCTGAGTATGGCGTTCTGCAGATTTGTGGGACTGGCTTCCTTATGACTCCCTTTCTCATCTGAAAACTGGGTTCCAAAGCCTCCTAAGTACTAAGTGTTTCAAGCTGCATCACAGAGGGAGAGAAATCTGTTCAAGGAGTCTACAGGAGCTTTTCTTTAAGCCTGGAAAATGCTAGCACAGGCTGGTGGTGGAAGCACATGCTCTGGGGTGACTCCTGCCCTGATTTTGTGTGAGTTGTTCATGAGTAACAAAGAGAATCTCTTCCTTTACTGTCTCAGCTCAGAAGAGTTTGAAATCAGCTTGTCTAAGATTGTGAGATTTCCTTTTAATCTGCATCATGTGATCAGAGATCACCTATCTAACCTCTTCCTGGGATACTGCACCCATGGCACCCGCTCTGAGCCCCCTTGTCACAGGCTGTGTCCACCTGTCTGTTCTGGGCATCTTAATTTGCACCAGGATGAGGTGACTTTAGAAAGCTAGGGGTGAGGAGCAGGTAGTGAGGCAGACAGCATGGGTGACAGCCAGAGATAGAGTAACAAAACCCGCAGTTTTCACTTGCAACATTTCTGCTGAGCTGCAGCTGCAGCCCCTGAAGCCAGTCCTGGCGCCCAGTACAGGGAGCTGTAGGTAAGTTGAAAGCAGAGAATCAAAGGATCAGGAAGACTTTGCCCAGCTCAAGGACCAGCACAATGCCACTGTCACAGTCGTTCCTGCCTGTGTCTCAATCGTCAACAGTTCCTTGAGAAGTTTTATGTTTGTGGCTTTTTTATATAAAGGCCCTCTATTTCAAAGCAGCCTTGTCCTTACTCTCATTTAGGCCACTCTTCCTTGACCCACCAGCTATGACCTGGGCTAGGTCCCATTTCCTCTCAGCAATGTGAAAGGTCTCAGTGAGCCCTTCCCCATGCAAGCTTGCCTCATGATGGAGCCACGGAAATCTAACCTGTCTTGTTTTCACTGCTACCAATCTTCTCTCCTCTCTGTCCTGTTCTCAGTGATGATCCAGCAACACTCACATCCTGGTTCCTTTTCTGCAATGATGTGACCATGTTGCCCTTCACAGAACCAACACATGCTGTGAGCCCTGGCAGAGGAGTGGTTGGTGTCACTGCAGCCCCAGGCAGGGTCACGGCTGTCCAGCTGTAGCCAGCCTAATCCATGCATTTGGTGGAGTCCCTGGGCACAGCATGGAAAACAGCACAGTCCTGCTCTCCAGACTCCCGCCCCCACCACCTCTCCCCCTTCTCCTCTCTAAATTCCTCTGGTTCTGAACCCTAACACCTATTGCAGGCTCCAGCTCAGTGCCGACAAGGGTGAGAATAAGTGCCAGGTGAGGACAGGGAGGGCATCTGGGGCCCAGTGAGGAGCAGAATGTGGCCGTGAGTTACAGGGACACTCGGATCCCATGGGCAGAAGGGGCCCTTGCAGGCAGGAGACGGTGCCAGAATCACAGGGCACGAGAGGTTCCCAGCTCTGGGACATGAAAATGACCTCCCAGAGGAAATTCTTTCAGGTTTTACTTTTTGACTTTCTAAGAACAGTGTGCCTTCGGGAAGCTCATAAAGCATGGGGGGCAGCTTAGAGAATCATGGTACAGGGAGCCCCCAGGACCCCAAGGAGGTCAGGAAGAACCCTGAGCTGCCCACAGAGCCCAGGAGCCTCTCAGCCCAGCTCCCTCTGCCCAGGGTCACTGTGCTGAGGCCTTTGTGATGAGGACTTCCTGCCTGCCCACCTGGTCACCACCACAGTTCACACTGCACAGCAAGGCTGCTTTGTGTGTGCGATTCAGATGGCAAAATGTGATTATTTGCCTTTATTTCTATATCCTGAAAGGCAGGGTTGTGTCTCATGATATGCATATATTCAAATTTAATAGATAACGAATGTCAAACTGTTCTCCAAAATCATTTACATTAATTTACATTTCCTTGATCAGCAAATGAACATTCCCATTGATCCACATAATCCTCAGCACTACATGATATTGACTCCCTTAAATTTTGGCCAGCTACGGCGCTGTACCGAACTCTATCTCATTATGGTTTTAATTTGCATTTCCCTGATAAATAATAAGCTGAGCGCTTTGGCATACAGTTACTATGCGTGTGGAGATCCTTTGTGAAATGCTATTTGTGCTAATCCATTTCTTCTGTCAGGTTTTCTGTCTTCATGTATGTATTGGTGGTGGCTCTTTTTACATTCCAGACATTGTTATGTGCATTCAGATATCGCCTCTTGCCATGGGTCTTTATTGTTTATTCTCTTCACGGAAACTCTCCTGAGAGAGGTCTCATCAGAATTTTAACGCACATGAAAGTGATGTATCTTCTCCCCTGGGGTTAGTGTATTTCTATCTTAGAAATCTTTCTTCTCTCAAAAACATAAATGGTCTTCAAGATTGTCTTTGAAAACCTTGTTTTCCTTATATGTTCAGGCTTATAATCCAACTGGCAGTGGGGGAGAGGTGTGAGTGTGTGTGAGTGTGTGTGTGTGTGGAGTGTGCTTGTGTATTATGAAGCAAGGGTCAAGCTGCTTTTTGCAGTATGAGCACCCCCTCACCCCATAACTGAGGAGACTTCCACAGCTCGCTGCCTACCACTGCTGTTCCACATCAATCCTCCACACACGCACAGGTCTCCATCTACCTTTCTGCTGTTGCATGTGTCTGTCTGTCCTGTGTCATCGCCACACTGTCTTAATTACAGAGGCTCTATGATTAGTAATCCTGTAAAGCCAGTCCTCCACCCTCTTCTCCTCCATGACTTGCTTAACCCTTTGATTCTCCAAACAGACTTTATAATCAGTTTGTCAACCAGTACTGAAGGAATCCCTGGAGACTTATAAGGTATAGTTTGGAGAACATTGGCATTTTGCATGCATTTTTCAAATGTTTTCACTTTTATAGGTTTTCATTAATTGATTTCAAATTGTTTCTGCCCTTGAATAAGAAGTATTGCTTATGCTTCCTTAGATTTATAACGAGGACCTGACGCACATGCCTTTCTGTACGATTATATTCATCTCATCTTGCTGTGGGTCAAATCTGCCCCAGAGAAGGCAAATGTCACCAGGAGAGCAACTTAAGTGCTTGGTGACAGTCAGGACTGGGAAGGCCACATGGATATGCTCACAGGGAGGACCTCCAGCATTCTAGATGAGGCTGTCCGTGTTCCCTAACCTGGCAGCTTCAGGCTGGGCTGTGCACTTGTCAGAAGCAGAAATGACCACCCATCCTGGACCCACAGCCTCAGAAACCCAGGGCAGGGCAGACAGGCTGCAGGGTGTTAACAAGCCTTCCAGGAGATTCAGACACCTGCCAGAACCAAAAACATAAGATTCTTACGTATTGTGCTGCTCTAGAGCACGATTTCTTAACCTAGGCACAGCCGACATTCTGACCCTGCTAATTCTCTGTCAGGGGTTCCAGCTTTGTCAGGGTTTCTAGCAATGTCCCTGGCCTCCCCCCAGCAGAGATCTAGGACATCCAGCCCAGCTGTGACAGCCACCACTGTGCCTTCTCTGGGCATTACCAGTTTCTAGTGCCCACAGATCCCCACAGATCTAGGCTACTTACTCCTTCCCTTAACTACCCAGGTTGGCGAGGGAGGAGTGTTCACCTTCACTCCACATCCCAGGCACCCCTTTGAGGCCCACCTCGTCCCAAAGCTTGCTCAAGAAAGTGATGTGGCAGAATATTTAGGAATGAGATAAATAATTAAGAGTGAGGTAAAAGAAATATTTAAGAATGAGGTAAAACATGTTCTGGGAGTAGTGGGATCACTGACGCTTCATTGGACCTCCCTGACCCAATCTGCCTGCCTGTAAGGTGGAGCGGTGCATTCCGTGGAGAGGAGTGGGCGTACTGTAAGTGTGTTAGTCACTTCCTGAAGGGAAAATAACCGGCTGAGAAGATGGAAATGGGAAGGTTGGAAATGAGAACACGGGGTCAGCTGAGACGCTGGACTACAGCCAGGCAGAGTACTTTAAACCAATCACACTCTACTTAGTTCTGGAACTCTCAGCCCAGCCGAAGCACCTGCATATTAAGCTCGTCACTTTTTTGTTTGTTCAGGTAATTTATTATTCTGTTGAAACTGATCCCAGGAGCTAGCTCTTGTTAGCTACCTTGCTATTCTGTCAAGCCCCAGCATGCTGAGAAGGAGTGAGAGCTCAGGAAGGGACAGGGTCCTTCCAACCTTTCCTGGTTTCCTGTGGCTGGCTGCCTGCACTCTCCGGGGACACCACAGGACCTCACTTTCTCCATCTGGGAAGCAGATGAAAGGGAAGGTAAACTGCAGGAGCTCTGATGTCCATGTTGGCTCTGAAAAGCTGAATTATATTTGGGCTTCCTTGTCTTACCAGGGCAATAGAATCTACACTAGAATCTGCATTAGGATCTAAATTAGACAAAGAGATCACCACTTTTATTGAGAAAAGCGATGAATAGTAAAGAGTGTAGAACTCCCAGATTCACACAAGCTGTCAAACCTGTAGTTCTGCATGTTTTCCTAGCAGCAGGATCCCAGCATGCTGCAGGGGTCCAACTGAACCTTCCTGCAGAATCCAGCAGCTCAGGGAGCCTCCAGGGGAAGCTGGACCTGGACATCCAGAAAGTCTGGTTGACCACGATCTTACTGGAGTTCAATGCCATTCAGAGCTACCAAGACTCAGAGCTATCTTGGACCCCATCTCTAGTAACTAGCATGGTGGGGAGGGACGCTGAGCTTCTCTGCGTATGAATGGGGCAGGGGAGCCAGAAGGATGGTTCTCAGTCTCTGTGGGATTGCCATACAGCAGAACATTCCTCGGCTCTAAAAATGTGCACCATTCACAGCAGGAAGGAGGAGCCTGTGTGGCTGGCTGGTGAGCACTTGCCATGGGGCCCCTGAAGTCTCACTTCATTTAAATGTGAGCAGGGGCACTTAGCTACTTGCAGCCACATGAAGCAGCCCAACCCCACAGCAGACAAAGCAAGAGGAGTGGAGGCCTTTGCCCTTGGTGGTTGGAATACACTGATGGACTTGCATTTGCCCAGGCCTCCATCTTGAGAAAGCCTCTTGAAAATGTGAAGGGCGGTGAACTTGACCAGGGGAGCCTAGCAATGAGGCATCAAGAAAAGTGGGAGAAAGGAGTTTCTAGAAAGTGAAATTGCTAACAAGGAAGTAGAGATTAGGCTTAACTTCACAGAGCAGGAAAAGAGTCCCAGGCTGGGAGTCCCTCAAAGGTCAGTCTCTCCAGCTTGGGGAGCAGACACAGGAAGTCACAGTGTGCTGCCTCTTGGCGTGGATGATGAACTGTGCAAGCCGCCACAGCAAAGCCACACCGAGCAGGCCTTGGCCAGCACAAAGCGCCTCCTCATACTCCTGCAGGCCGGAGGTCTGAGGTCAAGAATGGTAACAGGCTTGGCCTCTCTGAGGCCTCCTGCCTTGGTAGGTAGATGGCGCTTTCTCCTGCATCCTTACGCATCTTCCCTCTGTGCAGTCTGTGTCCTTGTGTCTTCTGGTTTTTGGAGGTTTGGGTTTTTTTTTTCCTTTTGTACCGGTAATCGAACTCAGGACTTGTGCTTTCCAGCATTGTGCTGCTGAGCTATAGCCTCAGCCCCCCATCTCTTCTTACAATAATGCCAGTCACTGGGCCTTAGTGAACCCTTCAATAGCCCTGGCTCCAAATATTGTGTCCTGTGGCATAATAGAGGTTAGGGCTTTCCAGGATGAATTCTGAGGGGCAGGAGGCAGCCTCCATCACCCACCAGGGATATCAGAGAGTGGCTCTGCTCCCTACTGGACCCAGTAAAGACTGGTCTCCAGGTTCCTCTAATAATGAGGTTCTGTGCCACTGGGCAGAAGGCAGAATAAATTCCGGTGGAGCAGCCTATGACGTCTCTATGGAGGAACTGTAATTTCATCCTGACAGGGGAGGATCAAAGGACTCCACTGAAACGGGGGTGGGAAGGCGCCAGAGTTGGGATTTAAAGCAGAGGGAGCAGTGTGACCACCGTCACTGAGATGGGAATGTGTAAGGTGTGTGTATGTCCAGGCAACACTTCATTTTAAAAATTTTTATCAATTTTATTGATGCTGTTTAGATACAGATAATGATCACATTCATCATAGGGAACTTGTACCTGTCCATAATAAATCTCAGTTCCTCTTCTTTTTCCCATTCCCCTCCCTTGAACCCCTATTCCCTATTCACAAGGCTTTGTTTCCATTTTATCATTTTTCCCTTCCTCCCCACCCCATTCACCCCTCCTTTTGAACAATTTCTTATTATTTCACAATGTCTATATTATATATTTTGGTTCTTAGTTACACTTTTATTCGCTTACACCAGAGAAACAATATGATATTTTCATGTGTATCTGTCTGATTTATGTCATTTAAGAGTTTGGCCTCAAGGAGCATCCATTTACCTAGAAATGTCTCAAGTTTATCCTTCTTTATGACTAAGTAGTATTCCTTTACATAAGAGAATCACATCTTGTTTATTCATTCATGGGGCATATAGGTTGTTTCCAAGATTTAACTATTACCAACTTTGTTTCCACAGACTTGGGTGCATATATATTATTGTGGTGTGACTCTTTTAATTGTTTTGGGAAGATACCAAGAAGGGGAATAGATGAGTCAAATGGGTCCACCAGTTTCAGGTTTTTTGAGGAAACTCCACCCTGATTTCCACAGTGGTTGCCCAGTCTACACTCCCAACAACAGTGGAGAAGTTCCTTTTCTCCCACCGTCCCTCCAGCATTTGTTATTGGTTGATTTCTCAATGGTAGCCATTCTTTCTGGGGCGAGATGGAATCTCAGTGTTGTTTTAACTTGTGTCTCTTGAATAATCAGTGATATTGAACATTTTTCATACATTTATTCAAGCAACTTTGTTAGCATTTTTAAAATAGAGGACATGAATTTGGAGAGAGGCAAGAAGGAGTAGAAGATTGAAGAGTAACCTTAGTTCTTCCATGTCTTAAGGTCTCTGGGCAAAATAAAACCCTGTCCTACCTGTGGTTGCTCCTTGACGATGGACTCATCAAGGGTTTGATTTCAATTATGTGCACTCTTCACAAGAGACGGTTTTCCCATGTGCTTTGCCCGTTGTCGGTTCTCCCTTCCTGAAATATTCCAAAGTCATCACAGCTACGAATCAGGAGTCTGACGCCTCCGTTCTCTCCCTCCAGGTACCGCTCTCACAAGTCTCGGCCACAGATCGGACCATTACCAGTGTGTGAGGAACGGAGGGTTCTGTTTGTACTCTGCTTGTCCCATGTTTTCCAAAGTCGTTGGCACCTGCTACAACGGGAAGGCGAAGTGCTGCACCTGAACCTGAGTGACCGGGGCACAGCGGAAGGATGTGAAATACTTCTTTTAATAAAGAATGCTTGTTTCCACTTTTGGAAAGTGCCTCCATGCACCAAACTAAGTATTGTGTCTCAGTTTGGGAAAGGTTAAGACAATCTGGGCTTAGAAAGGGAGGCAAGTCTAGTCACAGCCTGGTCCAGAGGAAGCATGACCAGGGTTAGGGAAGGTCTCTTTTCCCAAGTTTACCATCAGAACCAAGACATGAGTGATGCAGAGGGTCCCCTGAGATCAAGGATATGTGCTGAGCTCAGTGGACGCAGTCACAGGGGCCTGGCAGAGGTAGACTCCAAACTCTGGGATGTCAAAGAGTGTCTGTGACAGGGTCTGTCTGCAGAGCCAAGACTATGGGCCCTTCTTTCTGAGCCAGAGCCATGGGTGGCTCAACGGTAGCAATGAGAACCTCTCCTGTGACCATTTAAAGTATCTGAACCCACACATGGCAGCACACACCTGTAATCTCATTACTCTGGAGGCTGAGGCAGAAGGATCGTGACTGTGAGACCAACTTATGCTCCATAACAAGTTCAACTCCAGCCTGGAACATGGAAAGAATCCTGTCTCAAAACAGATCAGCATTTTGCACTCCACCGCAGTCACAAAACCTAGTTGTACATCACAATGCATGACAATGACTCAGCCACATGTGTCTCACCGTTGGGTCCTCACCACAGACCCTCTCCCTGGGGGGAGGAAATCTGGTCACCTCGCTTTTTCCAATAAGCCCATTAATGCTCAGGATGATGGGGTGCAGGATGCTATCAGCCAGCCCCTTAATCTGTGACAGCAGCAATTTTGGCTCCACTTCTGTCAGTTGTAAGCAGAAATGAAGGTCACTTGCTATAAAGCAATCACCGGGCCCAGCAGTGGACATGCTGTACTGCTCCGCTTCCTACAGGGCAAGGCTGAGAGGAGAAATCTGGTGTCTGTGACAGATGCTAACTCTACCCAGGCGTACAGTGTATCTCAGACATGGGTGGTTTTATCACAGGTGTCTGGGTTTTTTCTTGTCTTGAAAACCTAAGAAGCAATGCAGGACCAGTCTACTCTGGTGTGGCCTTGTGGGCAGCCAAGGTGACAAATTTTACCTTTGTAGGAAATTAAGAACAACTAGCAGGCACACATCTTGGTGAGCAGGCTGCACCCGCCTGGCCTGTGATGATCATGTGTCCATGTGTCATTAACATGAGCACACCATGTGAAAATCTAAGCTTTGCTTTTCAGAGAAAAGATCATCAGGATACAGATCTTCCACTAAAACAGATTAGGAAGCATAACCTGCCTGCCTATCACACAATGTGGGTCTTCACCCTTCAGGGCAAACAGGCAACCAAGACAGCAGTGATGGAAGAAGTCCTATCGCACTAATACAGATCATCTCTGAAAAACGTCATCCACATGGCAAAAATAAAATGTTCTAGAAGAGTAAAGATTAGAAAGAAGGTATTAGCCATTTCAGAATTACTAACAGAATAACAGTTTTAAAATGAAACCTTAAATAATGAATTTAAGTGAATGCAAAAAAGGATCAAAAGATGAAAAACTGAATAAAAAGGTAAAATACACTGATGAGCTAGTTAAGAAGTTCTCTTATTAAAGGAGTTACAGAAAGAAAATACAGAATAAACATAAGAATTAATTATCAAAGATATATGAAATAAATTTTCCCAAGAATAAAGGAACATAATTTCTGAACAGAAAAAATCTACTAAATAGCACAGTAGCGCTGGGCAAGAACCAAGAATAACATCTAGGCACATCTCAAAAAATTTCAAAACACACACTAAAGAGGGAAGATATTAAACTTTCTAGAGAGAAAGAAAATATAGGATGCTCCACAAAGAGATATAAATCCTTTTGGCATCAAGCTTTTCTTCTACAAGAATAAATTCCAGATAATCATAGCTAAAATGCATGAACTCTCTCAAGGAAAATGACATTAAGTTTAGAATCATCTGAGCCAATATACAGGTCATGTAAGTGCAAACAAGGTGTTTTCCAACCCAAAGGATGAGACATTTTTGCTCTTACTACCTACTGTCTCTCGGGAAATGTCTAGAGGAGGGCCTTTCACCAGACTGTGGAGGAATTGATAAAAGCAGAAAATGCTATGCCACAGAGGCAGCTGCCTCATCTTTCCGAGCACACAACCCCTCCAACTCAGGCTGCATTCGTCAATAAGAAGTGAGCAGAACTGACATGCATCCCTCCTAGGAAGAGCAAAGGTAGGTGTCTTCTTCTCTTTCCATGCTGAGGTTTGATGAGTAGTTTCCTAAGACATAGGAATGACAGAACTGTGGGTGAGTAAAACTTGCACCCTAAAGAAGGGAAAACAAGTTCCCTAATGTCTAGAACGATCCTCGGTGAGATGCCGCATGAGCCCAAGAGGGAGGATCCACTCTGAGGATTTATTTGCGATCATGACTAACATTGCCCTATCTCTAGATACAGGCACATAAACAATCTGCAACTGCAGGCTGATAAGAAGCGAAATGCCCAGTTAAAAACTCCACTCAGGAACTCAGGAACATGCAGAGCCATCTGAAGCGGGAAGTCTGTGTTCTAAAGCAGGTAACAGTCGGTCCTCTGGATCTGTGGGGTCTGTCACAGCAGATGCTACCAACTGTGACACACTCATGTCGCAGAAAAAATGGTGTCTGTACTGAAAATCCCAACACACTTTTCTTGTAATTAGTCCATAAACAAGGAAGCTCAGCATCTATATCCACATTATTCACATAGTATTAGGTATTTTACACACTCTAGAGATGATTTACAGGGTACAAGAAAATGTGTGAAAGTTCCATGAAAATACAGTGCCATTTCACAGAAGGGCTCGGGGCATGCATGGACTCCGGTGTCCTGTGGGTACCTAGGGAGGACCACACATAGGAATGGGAGGGTCTCCATGTATTGTAAACAGCTAGGTAAATTTTTTAAAAACTAGTAAAGCTTTTTTATCAGTGTATTTCATAAGGCATGAGAAGAGCACTGCAGTTTGGCTGGAGAATACCCAATGTTAAAACGTCCTGAAGCTCACAGCTCCCTCCCAAAGACACCCCCCCAAATAAAGGTCACAAAGCCTCAGCAGCAGCTGCCTCAGAGTGGGGGCATGAGTGTCCTCCACACTGCTCCTATATGAAGGCCTAAAACTTTTCTAGGTAAAAATTAAGACAGGCAAAAATCATCACAAGTGCAAACATTTTTCTGCATAAGAGAAATGAAAGTAAAATTAAAAGGTGACATTTAAATTTAGAAGCCTTGTATTGGAATTGGAACTATCAGTGTAAATCACAGCCTTTTTCTACTGCAGTGAGAGTACAGTAATAATAAGCAAACCTGGATTCCTGGCTCCTGTCCCTAAGTAAAGTTTTTCACTGTGAACAACCAGAGTTATTGAGAAAAATGGCAAATACCTGCCCAGAGGATGAGATGCGCAAGAAAAAGCCATGGAATGTTTTCCTGCCAAAAAGCTACAGAAGCTGTCGAAGACAGGTGGCCCATGTCAAAGGGAAATCAGCTTTGACTAAAGAGGCATCCGCTGGCCATAGATGGGCATTACAAAGAATAATAACCACAACTTAGAAATACATATAATATATAAAAATCCAATTGCTCATCAATTCTTGAAAATCTGATTTGTTTACAATTAGAATTTCAGGGGCTGGGGTTTTAGCTCAATGGCATAAGCACCAGTCTGGCAAGCATGATGTCAAGAGTTCCATCCTTGGTACCAAAAAAGAAGAATTTCATAAAGTGCCAACTTGTCACTTTGGAAACTGACTAACAGAACAAAAACTAAAGCATTTTCTGATGCAAAATGTATTTTAGGGTAAACAATAGGTAAATTAAAGAAATATCTTCTTTATTAAAAATTGCCAGCTTATGTTTCAAGAAACAATAGAATTGTAACAATGCCATTTTGCAGTCTTAAAGGAAAACTGATCGAAGACATGCACCAGTTGATTGTATAAAAAAGTGCAGTGACCAGCTCAGCCCAAAACTGAATAAAAGAAAATTAACATGCTGTCACAGTCACCTTCCTTGTCACTGGATCACAGAACCTAAGTCTGAGACTTTGAGAAGGTGATTTTTGTTTTGAGCATGTTCCAGTTCATCCTCCATCACTCACGGCCTTATTCTGAAACAAGCAGAACGCGGCACCTTCCATGAAATTTTGTGGTCCAAACAAGAACTTGAAGTTGGTCAAGTGTTTGAATCTGAATAACAATTTATATATAACATCAAAGTGAGAAACAAGTAAAATACACAAAGAAGCATTCATTCAATCCAGAAGATGAGATGTCCAGTAGGAAAATGACCTTTTTCCTCTCACAAAACAATGGTATTAAAAAAAAAAAAAAAAGGAAAAAACTATGACATAGAAAGAAGAAAACCAGTGTGTGGCCTTGCTTGGGTCTGTGTGGAGGAGACTTTCAGCATCAGTAGAGCATAGTTTCATTTCTACTCAGTGCCAAAAATGGAGCAACACTGCAGTGGTCACCGTGTGAGATCAGAGGTTGATACCTGTAGTGTAAATCATGGCTGCTGCTATGGTGTATATATAAATTATTTCCCAGTAATCTCATGGTTTCGGAAGGTGATTGAGTCGTGAGAAAGCTACATGCATCATGGACTCATCCCTGGGTAAGTTCACTAGCTCGGTGAGCTGTGAGGAGGAGGCTTGCTGAAGGTGAGTCACTGAGGGCATGACCTGGAAGGGTGCACTCTCATCCCAGCTCCTCCCTGCTCTACTTCCTGGCAGCTTACGTTGAACAACTGTCTTTAGCCATGCCTTCCACCATGCTGTGTCTGCCTTTGAGGCAGCCAACAATGAACTTAAACCAGGAACCAAAGGGGCCTTTTCCTCCTTTAAGTTGCAGGTGTCAGATATTTTGTCCTAGATGGAAAATCTGACTAAAACAAATTTTGGTGTAGTAATAGGATTATTGCTATGACTGTACCCGACTATGTAGTTTAGAAACCTTTGAAACTGGTTTTCAGGTGGGGCCTGGAAAGGTGTGAAGATGCC